CTTGAAATAATTAATTTAGGCTAAATATTACCAACAATGTGTGGAAGCTGTTTTAGCGTCCGCAATTATTCACGCCACCGTGTTTCTTTCGTCGAGCATGATAATGAAACGGTATTTAGTCCATATAAGAGCGGGAGATAGTGCGTTACTTCGTAACGCGCGCGTTGTATCGTTTCGGGTTCATGGGACCGGAAAGTCTGCGGGCAATCGATCTTTCGCCGTATCCGATCGTGTCCGGAGCAGGAAGGCGTTATCGTGTAAGCTCGGTTTCGAGCGAAAGGAAATCTTGCGTGGGCCCGGGCGCGCGCAACAGTTTCCCGGGAATAAAAGAAAGGGGATCAAGCCGAGAAACGGGGTAGAGAGGCGGAGAGAGAAAAAAATATAGAGAGGATTGCCGCATCGTCGCGAATTATTAACGGAGCGTATCGGAGAAAGCTGAGATGGAAAATTGAACCGGCGTGGTCGTATGTACGCGCATCGTATCGGCTTCCCCTCGAGAAAGAAAATGGAAGAACATCGAACGTTGCGGTGCCACGAGGAAAAAGTAAAATCGACGAACTGGACGAATAAGCGACGGTAATTACGCCGCGTCGAAAAAAAAAGTGATCGCGGTTAACAGTCTGGATTATTTGAGCCGTTTATTTTGAAAGTGGCATAAGTCACTTTACCGTAATGAAAAGTGGTGACTTTTTAATGTTTATACGAAATTATTTATACCGAGAAAAATATCAGTATCCTGAGATAACGAATACAAGTAAATCTTCTCGAAAGTTAGCATCCATATTTTGAAACGTGTTAAAACGCAAACCCTTAAATATATCGACTTAAAAACAAAGTGACTTATGCCACTTTCAAAATAAACGGCTCAATCGCTGGTGATATTTGGGAATAGCATAATAGTAGCACTCTAGTGAAATATTTGAATTTGACATGTAGTTTAAAATACTTTTGGACTTCAACGTACGTTGCAATCTTGAGAAATCAAATAATGATGAAAAATATTATCATATAAAATGCTACAATTATTATGTTGCTGAAAAATCTCGCACTGTTCTGATAAAAAAGCAGATGATACGTAAACGAGTGAAGTATCCATTTTTATAATTCACTGATGAACTGCGGATTTTATGCGTTTATAATAACAATGGATAGGTGACATTTAAAACAATAATATCTCACTGAAATATTTTTATATTTCATTATTAAAGAAAAATATTTCAATTTGACTCACGTCTATTGTAATTCATGAGGATAATCTTTCTTTTGCTTAAAGTTCCACAGACCATTCATAGGTTTCTGGAGTTTAATTTCTTCTTCTCGAAAGTTAGCGTCCATATTTTTAAACGCGTTAAAACGCAAACCCTTAAATATATCGACTTAAAAACAAAGTGACTTATGCCACTTTCGAAATAAATGGCTCATATGATGAGTATCCTTACAGTTTCTCAATGCCATGTATGCATCGATAACAATAAATACAGTAAATTCTTCCTAATTGACTCCCAAATTGTGCACAAAAATGGACGATTGCAATGGACCAAAATGGAAGAGGAAATGCAATTATTCGAGCCTCGTGTCTCGTTTTTATAGTTGTTGACAATCAGTGACTATAAAAACGTGTCGCAAAGCTCGAATAATCGTATTTCCTCTTCCTAAATTGTCCATTTTTGCGTTCAATTTGAGCGTCAATTAGGGAGAATTTACTGTACTGTTGCACTCTAGCGACGCAAGTTGCATTTTCGACAATTTTGACTCGTGTCTTAAAGTGTAATCTAAAAGGTACGTGCTAAAATGTTAAAAGGCCGAGTGAAATAAATTATAAAGTTAGTATAAATTAACTTAACTTTAAATTATTTTAGCAATAAATTTGGTCCGCAAACGATTCACATGTTAGTGAACAATAACGCTCCTTGGTTCTCAGAATAAAGAAAATGTGAAATTGTTGAAAATGTGAATTTCGTATAAACATTAAAAAATCACCATTTTTCACTACGGTAAAGTGACTTATGCCACTTTCAAAATAAACGGCTCATTTACGGAGAATAAAACGCGTCCGCTCGGTCGGCCGAGAGGACGAGGCATTTCGCAATGGTGCTCGTAAGATGTACGCTTTATTCCCGCGATTAGAACTCTTTAATCAACCTGTCGTCGCCGGCTTCTTGCGCGGCATGTACTTGCTCCGGCCGGAATTAATTCTTTGCGCCCGCCTACTTCTTACTTCCTGCGCATAATGGCGCGATTTCTATCTGAAATAAAACGAACCCGAAACGGCGGGCTCGTCGTCGAAAAGAATCGCGCAGTGAAAGCGGCGGGAGCCTATCGAAAAGGAACGCGGTACGATTCGAATCTCTCGCTCTGGGTTATCGAGCTTGAATTATTGTCGCTTGAGTCGCCAATTCGCAATCGAAGTATGACACCGACTGGATATTCTGTGGTCGCAAATTTCCAGTAATTGCAGCGTGTTTTACAGCGTAATCACTTGCGTTGCTCTTTACTCAAATTTGAAGAAGGTGATTTCTCCCAGAAATGTTCGGAGTCGGAATCGAAACACGCAGATCTGAGAATACTAAGTAGTGTTAAGACATGATTTTTCGAGTCTCGCGGTTCGTTTTTATAGAAATTCGGCGAAAAAAGCGGCGGTATACATTAATATGAATACATAGTAATGCTAGAATAATAATGGTGACTTAACTTTTTTATTTCTAATTTTTTGCCACGATTCGAAGGCAATTCGGAGGCCACGTGTCACGGTTTGAAGGCAATTCGAAGGCCACGTGTCACGATTTCAAGGCAATTCAGAGGCCTCGTGACACAATTCGAAGGCAATTTGGGGGCCACATGCCACTATTGGGAGGCAATTCGGAGGCCACGTGCTACTATTCGAAGGCAATTCGGAGGCCACATGCCACGATTCGTCGTTGATTGGTCACGGTTTTTCTTACCTGAGTCATACCCAAACAGACCATTTCGTGTTGTTTTCTGGGAATTCGCATCACATGTGCCGCATCACTCCGTCGACCCTTAGCATCGACGTAACAATAAATTACATAGTGCGTAGGACTAGCACAAAGAAATTCATAGCAAACCGAAATTTGACATTTGCGGAAGAAATTACTATAATTCCTCGATTACGGAGCTTTTTTGGACTAATTTTAAGATAGTAGAGTCAAACATGATCTATTTTCAGTGTTAATACCGTTTATACATAGATCCAAAGTGAATGAAAATGTATGAAACTATCGATCAAACTTCGTTTTTTAATACAGTTTAACTCTTTTAGTGCCGGAAATCGAAATTTCGTTAAAAGCAACGATACATCGTCACCTGACACTGTATGGGTGAATGGAGATACTTGAAGTACATAGCAGAGTTATGTTCTTGATCGTGCTGCAGATGGCACAGTACATACATCCCACGCATCGAAGTCACCACACTTGTGACTTTGATGTTATTCAGATCGAGTTTATGTATACTAATTTAAAATCATTAATGGTTCACAGTTAGTTATACTGCATGTGTATGAAGATGTTGGGTTTTTAATACACAGACATTGAAAATATAAAACATTTTTCTCTACTTTCACATATTTATTAGTTTTCCTTTAATTCCATTGCTTTCTGCTACCTATGTATGTAATATAAATTAGTTGGGTTGTATATAATATTTCTTGTTATTTATTTAAAAAAAAATACAGAATTACATTGAAATAAATATACTCGTACGTTTTTATTAGTGTTCATGACGATTTTCTAATGTTCATTGCTTTCACAATATACTATAACTAATGTATTTGAATTAAAACATTTATTATAATAAATTTTGGATGTGATTATAAATAAAATGAACTTGTGTCAGAAATTAAACTTACAAATATTGATACTAATTAAAATTACACTACAAAATGAATCCGACTAAATCCTGTGTTTTATAAAATTTTTAATATATTTTTAATATAAACACGTAAATGTGACT